ATGGGTTTTGGGAACTTTGGGGAAAACTGAACTAGTCATTCTGCTTAATAAGACCAAATTGATCCTTTTATTAGCTGAGTATGTTGGCAGTGTCCTTATCAATAAAAAGGTAATAATAACAGTAACAGCCTTAGAGGGTGGTTGTGAAGTGCTTAGCAAAGTACCTGGCACACAAGAACGCAATGAACATTAGCTATAGTTACTACTGTTGTCAGTGGTTCTGGATGGGCCCGTTTTCCAACGTGGCACAGACCCATGTGGCTGCTTGTATTGGTGCAGTTATTCTGAGAATGAACTGGTTTTTTTAACAAGTCTCATTAGCAAATGTATTCTCACTGCAATCTGGGGAATTGTGATTCAGTGAAAATCTAGCCTTTATATTAGCCGGCGATAGGTGGTCATGAGAAAAATTAACCTCGTCGCTTTTACCGCAAATACTGGCAATTTAGTGCTTTCAGTAGCCAGACTGATCAAGCCAGTCAATAGATGAGCAAAGCCCAGTCCTCTCAATATTTCTTACAACTGAATATACTACGGAGGGTGAAAGTGGTCTCTCACATGTAAATATGTCAGTTACAGTTTTGAATTTTCTGTATCAGGAGGCAGATATTGATGGGTTACTATTTTTGCACTCCATGTTATCTGATCAATTCTTCACTCTCTTCTAAGAAACAACACAAACAGAAGAGCCAATGCCATTGGCTGATAGTGCAAGAGGGCCATCAGTGGGGTGACATTTTCTAATTATTCCAAGCAAAGTGGTTATTTTTATCTAGTACTTACACCACTGAAAGAAGTCATCACTATGTTTACAAAAATATATCATGATACACACTGCTGTTTAGACACATTTACGTTAGAATTCTGACTCAAGCATTCCACTTGACATGTTTTGCCACGCAGTTTTGGCTAAGTGTTGCCACATTAAACAGACATCAGCCAGACTTGCACCATATGTGCAAAATAATTTTCTATTACATTTCTAAAAATTTGTATCTGAGCTGTCAAAAATCACGCAGATCTGTACTGTGAAATGACACAGCACTGAATGAGAAAAGTTATACATTTAAATCTTCTCTAAAAATGAAGTTATCTAAGAATGAGATTTTTTTTAAATGACTGAAATCTAAGAAAAAACTAAGGAGGTAGTCAGTGGGCATTAGGTTCAGGTTCTGGAGCACATAATAAATTAAAGAATCCAAATGAAGGCAATGTCATGCTTGCTTTTCTGAAAAGAGTGCATGTTTCATCTTATTTGGTGTTCCATCCATATTCTGACAGCAACAGAAGGCAGGAAAAGCCGTTAAAGATGGCAGAAAAATGTAGAAATCATGAACTTGTAGATTCCTAAGCTTGAAATATTGTCCAGATTTTGGGAAAACATCTGATATTATAAGAATAGTTACTGTACTGAAGAAACCATTCCACTGATATCAGACACATGAAGTAGTTAGATCAAATATATTGTAATAATTTATATCTCCCTAAAATCCTAATGAAGGTATCTTTAGGCCAATGTTTTTATGACATAGGAGGGGCTAAGATCCAGAATTTGAAGTGACCCACTTGCTCCACAGCTGTGAAGTAGCTAGATGTATCTTTCGATTCCCCTACCATGGAGACAACAGCAATTTTCTGCAGACGCTCTAATACTATCCTCTGCATTCCCAGTGAAGCCACGCGGTTTTGGACAATAACCTGAATGCTGTGGTGAACATGAGGAACAAGAGAGTGATGCTCGGGTTCAAGGGCTGGATGAACTATTTTCAAGTAAAAAGGGATGGTATGAACTTGAATGTTTAGTTTATCTCCAAAGCACTTAGCACTGAGGTTAACCGTGAGATTCTGAACAGTGCGCCTCCAGAGATACCAACAGAACTACTCATGGACTACAGCTCCCTCCACCGGTTCCTGGCCTATGTCCTCTGACAGACCACTGAAGGGTTATCCTGAGCCCAGTGGGACCACAGGTCACTGTGAAAGCAGGGACGCTTTCTATGGCAGATTTTAATTTGGGAAGACCAGGACACATCAAGATGCTGTCACTGTTGTAGGTATGGACTCTTTTGATAGCCGGGATCATGGCCCACATTCAGTCATTGACAAAAACATCACGCGTCGTCTTTGGTGCCAGGCCAGCCCTGCAACCCCCTCTCACCAATGAAGTGGAGCCCAGCGGCAGCCTGAGCTGTTTTAATCCAATCTGTTTTGTGCCAATGCTCCAATGACTCAAGAAGATTCTAAGAGCTGAGTTTAAGTTTCTTGTCATAAGAGCAACTTGTCCAATTCCAGACAAAGATGAAGAAAATTAAATCAAGAAAAAAAGGGACATCTTCAGGTCTCCAAAGAGATCAACGGAAAGGCTGACAGAGCAGTGACAGCAGCCAATCTTCTTAGTTGTGAGCTTTTAACCTTCCTACATAGCGGTCATACTGGTCTTCCCAAAAAATATGTGAACTATCTCTGCAAGCCCCAATTTAAAAATCAGGTGACCACATAGGCAACCACCATGAACCAGGTAAGAGACCAGCCTTAAAGGGGAAGCTCACAGGGTGGCATGGGACATGAGCCAAGGAGACAGCAGAACATGTAAGTGGATCCTGTGGCACAGCCCAAGTGTGCTGCAGCACCTGGGTGGGCTTGGCTAAAGGGATACGATACGGACGGTGAAGAACAAGGCAGGACGTCTGACAGCGGGCAGGGGCGTCGTCGTTCCAGGAGAGGCATTAGAACTGGCTGTATGAAGCCAGTCCGCCATCCTTCTGGGCCAACATGAAGCTCCTTGCAATTTGTGAAATATTGGAGAACTGATACAGAAACAATTCACCTTGGAAGGGGGTGAGAGGAGAGACCAGGTGTGCCTTTGGAGCAAGGTCTGTGTGCAAGCAGGTGGCTTGGGAGGCAGAGCCCACCCCAGTCGCCTCCTTCAGGGGTGGGTAGCAGGAGTGGCACATAAGGCTGCGGAGAGCGTGCAGCGGGGCTCTCGCCGCCACCTCAGCTGAGGCGGGCGCAGCACAGACGAACGCAGGCTGAGGTAATGCTGAGATGTGAAGATGCGTGCAATCAAGATTACAGAAAACGGTAAGAGTTGGGAGTGTTTGTTTGTACGTGCACTCAGCAGTATGGATAACCAAGTCCAGTGCAAAAGAGAAAAAAGAAAAAGATGGACAGACAGATGAGTGACAGTGGTTACTTTTCTTCTGGCCAAGATTTCATGTTACCAAACAATCTTGCAAGATACTGATTTCCTAGACCTCTGAAACTCTTTAAGTATCTTTTTCCTCGGCTATCCAAAGATATTAGTCTCATGGTTCCCCCAAATAACATTGCATTTGCTCTTATCATTTCTTAAAAAAAACAAAAATTTAAACTAAAAAGTTTAGCTAACTTGCCCCAAATAGGATCAAAACATTAGTTCTCCCCACACCACTTAACAGATCTGACAAATGACCATCTCTATAAATATTAAACTTTTCAATGGTTAAAACTAATAATCATTCAAAAAGTTACAGAAGGACCTATTTCTAGACCTGTGCATATAGTTGATGCTTATTACTGAGTGTAAAGGATAATGTATTATTTTACTTTGACAAAAAATGGCAAAAAAAACCCCCTGCTTTATAAATGGATGCTCATAAACTTTAAATGAATTTCCAACCAATTTTCAAAATACTTAGTCATGTCTGTAGGTGACATTAACAGCCTTCAACAAATGCTGCCCATTCGGCCCTTGGCTTACAAAGGATGTGGCACCTGCATTCGTCTGATAAAGGAAGCCTCCCCTGACGTCCAAACTCAAAGCCCTCAGAAATAGATTCCAGCATCTCTATAGCATCTGTGGGTAAGAAATCGTTCCAAAGACACTACTAATTTCACACATGGAACTCAACAAATTAACCTGGGGAAGGTGGGTGTTAATCAGGGGAATGTTGGGGTAAACAGACACACACAGTTGGGAAGAAACATTTTCATCAGTGATGACGAGAAACAGAAGTTTTATGCAAATTCTAAAGATCAGCTGACGAGAAACAGAAGTTTTATGCAAATTCTAAAGATCAGCTGAGCACAGGAAAACCCTCAAATTTCAGAGAAATTACAGACAAGCCCATTGCATAGTTGTCAGAATGGCCTTACAGCCGTGTCTATGCAATTCCAGAACATCTGGTCAACTCAGTAATACCATCAGTCACACCGCTTGTTTGGTCTTCAGTGCACCAAACGACTGACTCACTGAAATTTTCATTGTTTAACCCACCACTGTGGCATTGTGACAACAAAGCCTGACTTCAGGTTATGGGAACTGTGGATCTATGAACCTACAAAATCAAGCATTTAAAAATGGGCTCGGATCTTTGGGTGTTTCTTGACTGACATAATGAAAACTATTACTGTTTGTAAACTGCAGAGATCACCTAGTGCCTTCCTGATCAACACGTTAGGAGTTTTTTGGAAAGAGTAACAGAAAAACAGCTGACTTCCAATTAATCATTGTCTAGAGGTGGCCTCTGTTCTCTGGTTTCTATTTAATAATAGGCTCTGTCAATGTAGACACAGTGTACGGTATCACCTATCTGATGTCTTTGCTGAGAAGTATGAATTCAAGTTTTTGGAAAACATAAAGACGACTTATTTGAATTAAAATAAGAGAGTGCTCATTCCTGTCCCTTTAAATAACTCCATGTCTCTACCTTCCTACAGGCAGGAACACAGCCCCTTCCATGGGGACCAGCTCTGCTTGGGTAGCAGAGTTTACTTGAAGATTTCAGACGGGTGACCAGGAATTAACCTTTTTTTTTCCACCCTCACCATCTATCTAGCTAGTAATATTTTACAGTCAATTGTAGTTTTTTCTTTTTATAATACAATATTCTGAAAATCTGTGGTAGGCTCCACAGACTTCCCCAACAACCCTAAAATGGATTTCAATCTGGGAACTGTGGCAGGTCAAGAGTTAAGATTGAGGATTCACAGTCTGACAGATGCCATGCTGTGGGCTCTAAGTGATGGGAACAGGACATTCACAATGGTGACTCTGGAGAGGACCGGCTGCTGCAATGGAAAGGTTTTGTCCCCTAATCCCCAGACCCATCCTGGGAATTCTTACTGAAGACGTCATCCTGGGAAGCCTGGTGATCAATCCCTTCGTAAAACGAGCCTCCATTGTGCAGGAAAGTTCCCACCGCGCGCCCCTGCCGGGCGTGACCCACAGCATCACTGAACACTTTGTTTATTTGCTCCTCCGAGGGCATCCACCAGTCGGGGTTGGAGGTACAGTGCATCCTAATGAATTCTGTGGGAACATACACAACAATAAAAAGAGAGAAAAAAACAGCTGGTTTTTTGCAGAAGATGGTAGAAGAGACTGCTTACACTTTAACAGAAGCTCTTAATTTGAAAAGCTTTATGAGAACTCCAATGCAATGCCATGATGATGTCACTCACTACACCCAACTTATTCCATACATAATTCCTACTCATGCTCAAGGTAAAAGTCATGTAAGTGAGAGGGCGATCCTTCTAAGGAACATTTGCCATTGGAATCAAAGGTAAACTTGATTGGCAAGTTAGAGAGTTACTTTGTCAAAACCCGCATTTTTAGGATGTTAGCTACCTCCAGAAGCATAGCAAATATGTTCGCATGGTATTCTTAAACCAGCTACTGATCTATAGATTAAAGTAACAAAATCTCACATTTAGTGAGAAATTGCCTAAACTCTAGTTCAGGAGAGGCTTGCACATTCTTAAAATGTTATACTATAGGCTATACTTATTTCTCTAATTGTGGTGCCTACATATGCACTGACAAATATTTTAAAAATGTGATTTCCTCTAAATATTTAATTTCACCAGAAAGCAATGAGCATGCCTGGAAGAGCAAACATACAGGGTGACCCAAAAACATGTACACACACTTTAAGAGCTGACAGCTCAACTGCCATTTCTTTCTTTTCTCAGCCAGACTAAACTTTTAACAAAGGAAAGTCATCCTAAAATGCTACTGGGAGTTTGAAAACCCAGTTGAAGTACAAACACTGCCTTTATAATTATTCAAAGTGTGTATACATTTTTTTTGGACACCCTACATAAAAAGTAGCTAAGACTCCAATGAAACAAACTTGGCCTCCTTTGGATGAGCCTAAATGAACTCTTCCTGTTTCCTCAAGGGGGGGAGGGCACATGCATCATTCCTACGTAGCTATTTTTAACATGAACAGTTGTAAAATGAAGTGAACATTCTGGGAAAAGTTCTAAGTCAAACTGTGTTTGTTTTTGCCCAGCTGACTGCTGTTTACACACTGCTTCCTCCCCAGCAGTGCTCCCTCTACAAGATGATAGTTCTAATTGTGCGACTGGACTCGTCTGAAATGTCTTTGTCAAATCCACACTCTATCTGCCCATGGGAGAAGCTAATGCTTCGCACGCCCTCCTCAACTGTGCCCACCTCAGCAGAGTCCAGCTTCGAGGAGCGGGGGCACCACTGAGGTTGCTGGCATCCCTTTGACTCTGAGGTGAGAGACTCGCTTGTCTTACCCAGTCCCAGCCCTGGCAATCTTCCTTGGGAAAACACTTTATTCAGCTCCTCTCTGCAAAACTGCTGTGAACCTGATGGCTTATCCTGGGAAACACTGAAGGTTAATTCTCAGACCTAGGTCACAGTTGTTACAGTGCTGGGCAGAGAGCAAGGAGGTATTCTGGGACCTCGGGGGCTCAAATATTTACACTTCCCATTATTTCACTTGCGTTCACAGCTATTCACAACTCTTCCCATCATCTCCAGCCAGACTTTTTATTAGCTCCAGAAGCCAGGGACTGTTTTCTATTCTTCTGTCCTCAAGTCCCTACTGTATTCAGTAAGCATTCAATAGCTGTTGTAATTTCCCTCTCACTGTCCAGATCCCCTGCTCTCATATCAACGAGAGGGAATGAAAGACTCAACGTATCACCGAGGGGAAATAAAGGCTAATGGGTGAGGGCGCTGCCAGCCTGGGCTCCAGGAGAACGCGCTGCTGTGACACTCCTACCGCCTCCGCACCTACTACTGTGACAAGACTTTCCCTGATACGGTGAGAGACTATTAAAAGCTAAAGGCGGAGCTCATTCTGTTAGACAACATGAAGCATCTTCACAGGTCTTCTTCCCTCTAGGATCGTAACCCCTTCATGAGGAGGTCCCCCAGGATTTGGTTCTGTTCCCTGAGCACCCTGCTCTCCATCACTAAAAGTGTCCCACAGTCTGAGGCTTCCTCGGCCGTTGTAATCTTGCTCACTAAATCAAGAACACCCACCCTGGGAGTCACCAGGCCTACACCTTTAGGGAGGGATTCCCACCTAGGTCGCAGGAAGGCCCCAGGATTGCAGCCTTTGGGACAGACATATAAATGCTCTAACCAGTTGCCCCGGACACAGGTGGTCACCATTTCATGCCTATGCATTCTCCAGTGGAGGCCTGCGGGTCATGTCCCCAAGTGAGGCGTGGGCTGGAGAAGGCAGCTCTGGTCAGGTAGCCTGACTGCGTTAGTATCGGGTAGGTGTGGTAGTGCCATCAGGGCAGCGGTACTGGGGCTTTGGGATGTATGCTAATCCCTCAGTTTCACCAACTTGCTAGTTAAAATGTAAAGTGTTTAACAAGGATTTCTGGAAAGGGATACCACTGTGAGGCCCCTTATCCTGAGGCCCTTAGAGCCCAGGGCAGCTTCTGGAGCACACATTAGAGTATGTTCTGGGAGCCCTGAGCCTGCCACTGCCTCTGGCACTCTTGGTGAGTAACTGCGTCAGATCTGATGATGCTGAAAACTAAAGAACACCATGGCTAATCTGCTCAGAAAGACCCTGAAAATTTCCATCACACCCATTCTGAGCAAGTGGAATTTCCAGACTGGCCAACAGGGGGTGCTCTGGAGCACCTGTGCCTAGTTAAGACTGGTGTTCTCATTCCAGTGGTTTTCTGAAGGGCCAGTGGCAGGATCACCGGGGGTGGTCCTGAGGCACAGCCATGCATGCATCCCTACCCCTGCCCCAGACCAGCTGGATCAGAAGGTCAGGGGAGGCATGGGGAACCTCGGCTAACAGATACTACATATGCATTTGGACACACTAACAATCACTGTGGGCATCCCAGCAGGAAGTGTAGGAGTGAGTGTCCTGTGTGATAACTGAGACCTGATCAGTGACCAGGTTTTTCCCTGTGACTTCCCTGCCAGGAAACGTTTCGATCCATGTCCAGAATAAATCACTATTAAATCTTTCCAACCAACAAAATTACTATTGAACTAACTATACAGATGAATAGTTGAGCTCTCTGATATGAAATTTTACAGGTGTGAACGGTGTTTTTGTTGGCTCTATAATGTTCCTAGTTGTCTAATCTGTTTATTTCAACCTGCTGAATGAACTGAGCATCTCCCGATTCTTCCTCCTCACCCCTTGCCTCGCCTACCAAGTGGGGATCAGCTGCAAAGTAACCAGTTATTAATATTGGTGAAATGGTATTACCTAAGCAGTATTTTTAATACAGAAACTTTTTTTGAATTTAATACAATAAAGTTTGGGCAAGTAGTACTTTAGGCACTGAGGAAAATGAATTCTAAATAAATTTAAGGTACTGGGGGCAAGTATTCTTGAGAAGGAAGCTAGATGGGATGGGGGAGGAGGTGGGCCACAAGCTGCAAATGAAAACGGGCTTTATCATTTTATTAATTTAAAAAAAAAGCCACGTCTTCCCTTCCTCTGTGCATTTTCCGATGCTCCAGTTTTGCTGGAGGTGGCCTTCCCTGGCAGCAAAGAAAGTCTGAATTTAAAGCGTGAAACATGAGGTGCTATGTAATGCTATGTGCCACTCAGAACAGCAAGGCCAAAGCAAGCGAGGATTTTTCAAAAGAACTTCTCGATACCAAGTAGATGGGCCACATGAAGCCTATAAGGTCTCAGTGGGAAAAAACCAAAAAACAGTCAAGGCTGAACACTTGCACGGGAGCCACAGCCAATGTGGTGAAATGAGATCACAGATGGCGACACTGAGCGGAAGGATGCAGTACCTCGGAGGCATGTTACTTTAACTGGATCCAGAGGGCGTCTTTCGGGACCTGTTTCTCCTGACTGCACTGACCTTTTCCTTTTCCCAAGGCCGCATGAGTACTTAAGCTCATCGGTTGTGAAAACAAATCTGATGAGGTATCGAAGGAGACGTCTTCCATCTTTCTTTGAAGAATTTACAGCCTCGTCCCACTGCTTGCTCGTTATGTAGACAGGATAGTTGTTCAACAGCTGCTTGCTTCCCTGGAAAAGCGAAATATTTTCTCATTACCCACTTAGCCAGCCAGCCAGAAGCCGAGGTGATCTCCATTTCAAAGGCAGACGTGCTTTTTAACCAAGTGGCTATGTTCTGACAATGAACCAGGTATTGAAGAGCACAAGTAATTGCTCACACTCAGAACGGGCACTTTTCAAATTACATTTGCATTTTCTATAACAAGAGCCAATGAGGTATAATGAACACCTTTGAAAGAGGAGCTATTTATAACTTGCATTTTAACAGGTAGGTTAAAATGTGTCAAGATCCAATGACAGGGAACACTATTTAAATATAACCCGCAACTTTCCTTTTCAATCTATTAAAATATGCAGAAATGACTTTGAAGAGTGTGATCAAACAGGTCCCTTCGTCCTTTGGCTGGCAGTTAACGTACTTTTAGAAAGGATGCTGGTCTATTCTCATTAGGTATCACTTGTGTTTACCTACCTAACACCTGATAGCCGTCGATCACATTATAGTGGAAACATTAAAAAGTAAATTTAAAATAAGGGGAACTGTGGAAACTGGAAAAAAAAATCATTAATAATAATGCAAAATAGGTTTTCTCAAATTATAGCTTTTGCAAATGCCACTATGTCAACTCAAAATTTTTCTTACTTTTCACCTTCATAATTTATGCCTGCTATAAAATTCCCAAGCTAAACAGCTGCAGTGGGACTAATTATGGGAATTTCTGTTAACATTTATAAGCCATGTTTAGGCAACTGCACCTACACAACCATTACTTTAGTTCTGGTTGTCCATAAAATTCTACAGTCCAGGGCAATTAATTAACTCGCAATCTCAGTTTTAACGTACTTCTTCCCCAGTAATTAAGGTGTACAAAATAAAAGAGGGAAAATGCATTCAGTTTTACAACTCTGCAAATTTACTACAGGTTATAAATTTGGTAATGTTTGAGTCTATTAGGGTTTTATTTCAAAAAGTGCTCTGTGCAGTTAAGTGCTGAAAAGGGCAAACAGCACAGACGCCAACAGGAAGGAGGCAGCCAGACTTGACTACGAAACTGTCACTGAATCATGCTCTAGAAGCTCATCTCCACAGCATTCATCCCTCCTTGAATTAGCAGTAGTGTGACTCAGTTTCCTTTTTAAGGGAGGACGTTGAGGCACATGGTTTGTGCTTTGAATTTAGAGTCAAGTTGGGTTTTAACCAAATTTTGGCTCCAGATCATAAGATAATAAAATAGTGTGGTGTTTCTTGACCAAGTTATTACTTCAACTCATTGGACCCAAGTTTCCCTGTCTGTAAAATGGATAGAATTAACTAAGTTATCATGGGTTTGACATATGAGTACTTGGGAGCATAAATCAACCCTGGCTCTGTGTACTACAGGTGGTCAAGTGACGGGCAGGGGCCCAGAGGTCCCCTGGGTCCAGGATGCTGCCCCATGGCAGCAAGTGAGATGGAGGAACAACTGGAGTCTGTGGCACTGCAGACGGGGAAACGAGCATGAAAGATGCAGAATCAAGGGGGTCAGAGAGCCAGGGTTTGGGAGACTGGGGAGTCAAGAGGATTCCCAGGTGGTGGTGGTGCCCTTCGCAAAGACAAGGAACAGAGGGGGTGTGTCTGGGAAGAGACAGAGGCAGACAAGGAAGAGAATCCCACTGCTTCCCATGCACAGGGAGGGAAGGGGTTACAGGGTTCTGATTAGTTAACCCCTCAGCCCAGCCCAGCCCCCTGGGGCCTGGGAAAAGTGGGATCCAGAGCTCTACTGCCTCGGACCACAAACTGTGTCAAAAGCATTTCTGTGGAAGAGACTTCCTAATAACTGTTACCAAATATCCAGCCATGGATAAGCAGCCTGAGGCTGCCACATGTGCTCTGCACCCCTGGCAACAGGCTGAGATGCCGGTGCAAGTACAGAGGTGGGCTCTGGGGCAGGCCCTAGGCAGCTGACTTAACTTCTCTAAACTTTAGCTCTTTTCTGTCAAAGTAAGGATAGTAATTCCAGCTTGCAGGTCTGTGGGGAAAAGTCCACCAATCTCCCCACCAGAGGATAAGCCCACGGAGGGCTCGGATGATTATCTGCTTTAGTGCCCTCTCCGAGGGCCAAGAACAGTATATGACACAGCAGGTGCAATGAACATCTGTGGACTGCCACGGTGCACGCCACCATGACCAGCATACAGCAGACACTCGGCAACAGCGCTGCACTGCAGAACTCTTACCTTGTTTTTAACCGCTGTAGCACTGGGACACTTGAAGAGCTTTTGATTATAATAAATAGGCAAAGTGAAAGAATTTGAAGAGACCATCAAAGACAGGGGGCCACTGAAAAGGGCTACTGAAGACAGACTTCTGCCATCCTTATATGAAAACCATCTTCTCAGTTAAAGTACACTTGTCAGCTTTAGAAAAGGAGACAGTGCAGCTAGTTTTTAAAACTGGTATTTATTCAACGCTGCACACATTTTAAAATTGCTCATCTGGCAAGCCAGGACTCCCAGAACTGTTTGGCTAAGGAGATTAAATCCTTTTCTGAGGTCTCGCAAGTCCAAAGGCAGAGTTGGGAACCCTGTCCCCAAATTCAGAGTGCATCCCTCAAACCAGAGTTGAGTCTATTTCAAGATAGGAGGTACTTGAGATGAGGGAGCTGACAATCCAAGCAAGCAGCTTTCTCAAACCCTTAAAAACATCTACTCAGAAAAGTTCTCCAGCTCTTCTGGAATGTTAGCAGCTCTCCATAAAATGTAGCTCTCATAAAATGTAGAAATAGCATCTGAAGGCAATTTTCTTCAACAACAAAAAAAAAGAGAGAAAGTAATTTACAGCTCAAAACAACTCAGAATGCTCTGGGTTGTGGATGAGATTTATCGTGTGTAGTTAATAGAAATAAAATGTAATAAATAATACCAGTGAGAAAATGCCCATATACCTGACATGACAATAAAAATAAGACAGTAGTAATCATGATGATGGGTAAAGTTTAAATAGTCCTATCCAGAGAAAATGTAGGTATTTGCCCTGCTTTTATGTTTTTATAGAATTCTGACTGCATAGTCTCTTCAATTAGCCACCAACAAGTTTTTAAACTCTGACCTATTGTTGAGTCAACTTTGAAAAAGCCAAGATGAACAGTGCTCTTTTAGTGTCTTCACAGACTCGTAGCCAAATGGAAGACACTGGTGGACACTAACTTTTCAGTAAGTTCTGAATTCTTCTCATGAACAATGTATTCTGTGCACACGGGGGCAGGAGGGGGGTGGCAATCAGGGAGAGCTTCTTGGAGAAAGTGGGCTTTTCAGATGTGCTTTTTGTAGAATAGAAAGGTCAAGTTAAGAAACTGTGGACCCTAGTCTAAGGAGCCATCAAAGACTTTGAAGTATGTGACATTTATTTTGGATCTGTACTTTAGAAAATAACTTCAGTGTGGAGAATGGAGAAGACAGAATTCACTGCCATGGTCCAGGTGAAGAGTGATGAGTGTGAACTAGGAGAAAGACTGCTCAACGAGGCTGTCAAACACATGGATGTCAGTAGTGATGAAGAGGAAAGTGTCAGTGATGCCCCCCAAATTTCTGCCTGAGGTTGGTGCTGCCTTTATTACAGAGAAAACAGGCGTCTGGATGGGCATTCGGAGGTGTCTTGAGCTCAGGGTGCACAGCATTCCACAGCTGGTAGGCCCTGGACTCACTAGTCCAGAGTGGAGCCCTGAGGACTAGTGGTCCAGAGCTAGGTTTGGGTCTAGTTAACCTACACATGGTTGATGTTCAGAGAGAGAACATAACTGACTGGAGAAAGGCAGTGGAGAGCATGAGAAAGATGGAAGGTAAAACTGGCGAACGCTGGGTGGAAAACGTCTTAGAGCATACTCAACAAAGGGTGGAAGCCAGAAGAAAGTCCTGACATGAAGGCCGAGCGGTCATGGAGGAGATGGGTGAGATCCTGGGGATGAAGGCTCAGAAAGGGCCCCTGGACTGCACAACAGGAAAGCCACCGAGGCCTCCTGCAGAGCATTCTGACAAGTAGTGGAGGTGTAGACAGACTCCAGGAGGTGGAAGAGCAAATGGAAATTAAGAGGACAGAGATTAGGAATAGAGACCAGTCTTTTTTAAAATGAGGTCACCATTTGGCAAGTGCAGGCACTGGATCGTTGTGTGGTCTTGTGTTTCTCTTAGAGAGACATGGGGTCAGGTGGGAATAAGTGTGTGGCTGGATCTACTAAACAGTAAGCATGGGAATAGAGCTTTAATATTATTTTAACTGGACACAGGGAATGCCAATGGATGTATGACCACGAGGTGACAGAAAGGGTCAGCATCCTACCATTACTAGCATGAACAACTCACCTTGCCCAACAAAAAAAATGAACTACTTAAATCTATTGTTACCAATCCTAGACATTTATAACCCCAGTAAGGCACAGTGCAGTGGCTTCTTCCCCTGGATTTAGGTTCTAATGTTCCTAAGAATGAAAATAACACACACAGAAAACTGAGCCTTAGATCCTATAAAAATGTACTGTGGTTTAACAGGTACACCATTACCTGTACACATCAAAACACCGCTTCTCCTACACGTTGAAAGAGACTGTAGTTTCTCCCATTGAGATCCAGAGGATGAAAATGCTCATGTTCAGGGGCCCTACTGTTTGGAGAATCTCAGCTTGGGTGACATCTCACAGAAAGAGGTGTTCTGGAACCCTGGCTCTGCCTGAGGGAAGGACAGGTTGGTGTCTCCCATCTCTAGCCCCCTCTGTGCTAAAAGAATGGTGGAAAAGTTGCCCACACTGTTTAAACTGCTCTCTCTTTCTTATTCCCCTTGGAGTACAGAGTTGAATCTTTGTGAGTTAAATACATGCATCATCTTTTGCCATAGTCTACACACACACAGGTGATAGAACCATATGCCTCAGAGAATCAGAAATGTATTTTGCTAGCTAATCTGTTCTGGTATAGGTGGGTAAGCTACCAAGACACTTCATTTTAAGGAAATTCCAAATGGAACATTTACCTTTTTACAAATGGAGACCTACCTCGGTGGGCTGGTCAGCTGGCTGTGGGATCATGAGTTGGTTGTGATGCTGTAGCACCGTCTTCAAGTAATCTAGAACAGTCTGGCAGGGCACTGGGGGGAAGAAATTGCAATGATTACACATTAGATGCCACAAGAAGAAAAAAAAACTTTAAGGTTTAAAAAGACTTTTGATGTAAATGTCTAAAAAAAAAAAAGCATTGTCTAAAGGAAATAGAATCTTCTTGCATTTGATACCCGTAGTTACTTAAGTTTGTAAATACACAGCAGATGCTACAGTTCGGGGGGAATTTTTAGGCTCAGCACAATTCCTTGAAAACTTTCAAGTGAAACTTAATCTAAGATGAATTTGGGCCAACAATAATGACCAACGTACAACTCTCAGAAAGAACATGATTTGTTTTCTTTGACTCAAGTTGTTACAGTAGTATCTAATGATGCTTTTTAAAATTAAAATACTGAAAACTACTGTTTCATTTGTTTTTAATCAATAACATGACACGCCATTTTTTTTTATAACTTTATTGATTTCAGAGAGAGAGGAAAAAAGAGGGGGAAAGAGAGACAGAAACATCAATGATGAGAGAGTCATTGATTGAGCCCGCAACCCAGGCATGTGCCCTGACCGGGAATCGAACCCCGATCGCCTGGATCCTAGGTCGATGCTCAACGGCTGAGCCACAACCGGCCGGGCTGACATTCCTTTTTAATGACAGACTTATACCTAGTTCTTCAGAGAGTAGGAATGCCATGCAATTTAGTCCTGTTTCCAACAGAAATACACCTGAAAACACAGTTCCCACTGTAAGTGCCCAATTCTCTCTCCTCTCAAGAAACTCAACAGATCTGGTCCAATCCAGATTGTTGTGGAGTTCATTAATTGTTCATTATTTTTTTGAGGCTTAGTCTTACAGAAGCACTGAAAATCACAATAAAACTCAACAGACAGTAACCCAACATAGAGCCTGACATTTTTTGTAGCTTTGCATAAATAATTCCTACATCTTAAGATTTATATCAGAGACCTTTTAGGAGTACTGATTGTTTTTAAAGGCCTTGGTAGCTCAGTTCATATCCTAATTTATACGAATTATTGCCACTATGACTTAGCTGTGTGTTTTAAGATGCTTTTGTCACATTAAAGAAAAAAATAAATATTTAACCTAAGACCCAATTTTAAAATATCACCACAGGGCTTTCTTTACATCGTTTTTCTCAACATTTTTTTTTTTTTTTAAAGAACGCATACAGAAATGATCATCGTCATCCACTGCTAACAGCTTTGGGATTTTTAGGCGACATCACATTGACATAACAAATCAAAAACTCCAACACCCTTTTGAAGAATTTGAATGACAGGAAGTAAGAGTGGGTTAGGTCATTTTTCTTCTTGATAAAAGAAATTTTTCTTAAATAATCATCATTATAGACCTGTGTCTCACAGTCCTGTGTCACAGGCCACTCTTGAATCGTCACTTAAACATACTCTTCAAACTGAAGAGGAATTTGCTGAACCACCACAAAAGTCAACAACAAAAAAAGGCATGGGGCATACCTGTACCACTTTGAAGTAGGACTTTCCTTAAACCAAAGTTTAATAAGACTTTTTAAAAAAAATTTTGTCTTTATTGTTAAAGGTATTACACATGTACCCTTTCCCCCCCATTGATCCCCTCTCCCCAGGCCTTCACCCCACTACTGTTTGTGTCCATGGGTTTTATATATATATATGTATATCTGTTAGGTTAATCTCTCTCCACCCACCCATCCACCCCCGCCTTCCCTCTGAGATTCATGAGTCTGTTCCATGCTTCTATGTCTCTGGATCTATTTTGTTCACTGGTTTATTTTGTTCATTAGGTTCTACATATGAGTAAGATCCTGTGATACTTTCTTTCTCTGACTGGCTTATTTCGCTTAGCATAATACTCTCCAGGTCCCACCATGCTGTCTCAAAAGGGTAAGGGATCCTTCCTTTTTACAGCTGCATAGTATTCTATGGTATAAATGTCAAGAAGATGCTTGATATTTCAGTGTTCTCAAACTTATAGAAACTTGTTTTGTGTGCTACCATGTGATCCCATGTGCACTTGAGGAGAATGTATATTCTGCAGTTTCAGAGTGAAATGTTCTGTAAATGTCAATTAAGTTCATCTAATCTAGTGTGTCATTAGAATCACTATTTCATTGATGATTTTTTGTCTGGAAGATCTATCCAGTAAAAGTCAGTGGGGAGTTAAAGTCCCCTAGTATGACTGTATTGCTGCTGATCTCTCCTTTAAAGTCCTCCAGAAGTATTTTGGGGTTTTTCCCTAGCCTGTGTGAGTCTTTTGTTCTGAGGTAGGTCTCTTGTAGATAGCATACATTTGGGTCTTGTTTTCTTATCTATATAGCTACCCTATGTTTTGATTGGAGCATTTAATCCATTTATATTTGTTATTATTGATAGGTACTTATCTATTGCCATTTTATTTCTTTATGCCTATGTTTCTTGTTCTATTTCAACTTCTTATTATAGCAGTCCCAAACATTTCTTGCAATGCTGCTTTGGTGGTGATAAACTTCTTTAGCCTTTTTTGTCTGGGAAGCTCTTTATTTCATCCTCTATTATGTATGATAGCCTTGCTGGACAGAGTAGTCTTGGTTTCAGATCCTTGCTTTTCATTACCTTGAATACTTCATGCCATTCCCTTCTGGCCTGTAGAGCTTCTGATAAGAAATCAGCTGACAGCCTTATGGGAGCTCCTTTGTAGGTAACAGATTGCTTTTCTCTTGCTGCCTTTAAGATTCTCTGTCTTGAATTTCTAGCATTTTAATTATGATGTGTCTGGGTGTGGGCCTCTTTGGGTTCTTGCTTGGGACTCTCTGTGCCTCCTGAACTTATGACTTTTCCTTCACCAGGTTAGGGAAGTCTTGTGCTATTATTTTTTCAAACAGGTTCTCTAACCCTTGCTGACTTTCTTCACCTTCCGGCACTCCCATGATGCAAATATTGTTGCATTTCATGTCCCACAGCTCCCTTAAACTGTCCTCCTGTTTTTTAATTGTTTTTTCTTTTTGGTTCTCTGATTGATTTTTTTTCTACCCTGTCTTCTAATTCAGCTTCTCCTAATCTGCTGTTTGTTCCTTCCAACGTATTCATTATTTCTACTATGTCATTTTTAATTTCCTTCATAGTTTCCATTTCTTTTCTCATGCTATTAAGCATCCTTATGTTCAGAATTCTCAACTCTGTATCTGACAGACTGCTCATCTTCATTTCATTTAGCTCTTCTAGAGAATTCTTTTGTTCTTTCATCTGGGGCTTGATTTTTTGTCTCCCCATTTTGGCTGCCTGTTTGGATTTGTTTCTATGTATTAAGTAGATCTGCTAGAACTCCCATTCTTTTGGATAGTCTCTGGTGCAGGCCAATGTCAGATGCTGTTTGTGACTGGCCTCGAGTACTCTGTTTAAAGCTTTCCAGACTCCATAGCTTAGGGTTCCGAACTCTGCTGGGGCTGGGTGTGTTTGGGTAAGACCAAGATGTGCACCAAGGTCTGCTTTTCTAAGCCCTGGGTCCAGAAGCAAATCAGGCAAAGACTCAGAGCACCCAGAGGCTGACTGTTATCAGTCTCTTAATGAACCTCATGCTGTAGAAACTCCAGAGGATGGGGCTGAGCAGTTTTCCAATAGGGTGGAGCAATTTGCCCCCCCGCTCCAGGCAAAACTGCTTGGGCAGTCAATGTCTGCCTGAGAAAGATGTCCTCTGCCATATGGGGGAATAACGCAGCACAGGAATACAGATGCCAGCCCTCTGAGCTCTATCCACCAAGCCGGCATCTCTGGATTCTCCTCACACAGCTCAGTCCATCTGTCCTCCCTCTCCTGGAGCCCAAGGTGACTGGCTGTACATGAAACTTTGTAAGTTGGCCCTTTAAGAGGGTGTCTACATTTACAACCATCTCTCCCTGGTAAACAGAAACCTTGCTGCTTTTCACAGCCAGATGGTATGTGGGCACCTTTCTCAGTTCTGGTCCTCTGCGCTACAGAGCCCAGCTTGGGGTTTAGACCTCGGAGTTGTCACTGGGAACCCCCCACAGCTGAGATATCCCTCTGGCCCTTCAGCTGCGGTCTGTGGGATCCTGGCCAGCCCTCTCGTGCCTCCACACTTCTTACCAGTCTAGTCTCTATGTAGTCTCCATTTTTTGTCCTTGATTATGAGGGTACTCTCCAGCTAGTCATGTTTCAATTGATTATTCAGGATGGTTTTTCTGTATTTTAGTTGTAATTCCAGTTTGGTTCTAATCTGCTACCATCTTGGAATTGCCAACCCTACTATTCTTTAAACCCCAAATATTTAGGCAGCAGTGCAAAGCTATGAGCTGCTTCAGACATGTTGCACCTACTGGTTATAGGGGGCTCTACTTAAAGCAAGTGGGTCCTGTCTATAGATATCTGGAACAAGGCTGAAGGCCAGGAAGATAAGGCTCAGGTTCAGCCAACTGTTAAAAAACAGAAATAATCAGTGTCCAGGTCCCCTGAGTAGCCCCTGTCCCTCCACCTCTCCCTGGCAAACTCCCAGCCTTGGTCCTCCAAAGGCGGATGCCTCCAAAACCTTCTCCCCGCAAAGCCCTTGTTGTCACAGGTTTGGAATATCACTCCTGACTGTGGGCTCTTTAGAGAGTTGCCTAGATTTCCACAGGGAAGCTGTAGAATCAAGTGAAATGTTTTCTGTGAAAAACAAAACAAAACCCCACAACAACACAAAAAACAACAACCCACAAAACCAGTCTGTCTGGAAAGTGGAGATGGTTGTGTCTCTTAAAGTGGAGTTGAAAGGGGAAAGAAATACTCTCCTGATCCACAGCTACACCATGCTGCCTGCCTGGGAAGACACATGGGCACTGAGCAGGGAACAGTGAAAAACCTGCTGTCCTCTTCTTGCCCTTTTGTTTTGTTAACCTACAGTTCTGTAGACACACCATGGAATTTCTGAGTGTGGACGTGGGACCCTCACAAGATGGGGAATCAGGGGCCAGGGCTTCACGTGAGGTTTTGTGCAGTCCAGGCCAGTCACTGCTCCTTTAGCCTCCAAGGAAAGAGAGTGAGGTCA